TAGGAAGACTGGCTATGTAAGATTAGCCTGAAAAGAAGATTTTCACCAGAGCTACCTCCATTGGTTCAAATGAAACAGAATGAGGATTAGCATAGGCAATTAAATGGATACTGTTGTTTTAGGGCACCCAGCTATCTGTGTCTTTATCCATATTTTCTAAAATCAGGCTTAAATTCCCTGCTTGTATACTACTACTACTACTACTACTACTACTTCTTCTTCTTCTTCTTCTTCTTCTTCTTCTTCTTCTTCTTCTTCTTCTTCTTCTTCTTCTTCTTCTTCTTATTCTTCTTCTTCTTCTTCTTCTTCTCCTTCTCTCCCTCTCTTTCTTCTTCTTCTTCTTCTTCTTCTCTCTCTCTCTCTCTCTCTTCTTCTTCTTCTTCTCCTCCTCCTCTCTTTCTTTCTTCTTCTTCTTCTTCTTCTTCTTCTTCTTCTTCTTCTTCTTCTTCTTCTTCTTCTTCTTCTTCTTCTTCTTCTTCTTCTTCTTCTTCTTCTTCTTCATGATTGTGTCCAATTCTTAGAGACTGGCCTGATAAGACGTTGCAGTTTTCTTGGCAAGGTTTTTCAGAAGTGGTTTGCTATTGTATCTTTCCTTTTTTAAAAAAATTCAAACATAATAGAGCTGGAAGGCACCTTGGAGGTCTTCTAGTCCAACCCACTGCTCAAACAGACCTTATACCATTTCAGACAGGTGGCAGTTCAGTCTTTTCTTAAAAACCTCCAGTGATGAAGCACCCACAACTTCTGAGAGCAAGCTGTTCCACAGGTTAATTGTTCTCACTGTTAGGAAATTTCTCCTTAATTCCAGGCTGCTTCTCTCCTTCCTTAATCTCCGTCCATTGCTTCTTGTCTTGCTTCTTGTCTTGCCTTCTGGTGCTTTGAAAAATAAGTTGACCCCCTCTTCTTTGTGGCAGCCCGTCAAATACTGGAATACTGCTATCATATCACCCCTAGCCTTCTTTTCTCTAGACTAGCCATTCCTAATTCCTGCAACTGTTCTTCATATGTTTTCATCTCCAGGCCTTTAATTATCTTAGCTGCTCTTCTTTGCACTTTTTCCATAGTCTCAACATCTTTTTTTTTTTTTAACATGGTAACCAAAACTGCATGCAGTATTCCAGGTATGGTCTTACTAAGGATTTATAAAGTGGTACTAATACTTCATATGATTTTGATTCTATTCCTCTGTTTGTATAACCAAGGGTTGTATTAGCTTTTTTGACTGTGCAGCACATTGCTGGCTCATGTTTAAGTGATAGTCCACTAGGACTCCAAGGTCTTTCTCACAGTTACTATTTTTGAGCCAGATTTCACTAATCTGTACTTGCACCTTTGGTTTTTCCTACCTAGGTGTAAAACCTTGCTTTTCTCCACATTAAGAAGAAGTTTTGAGTAGTGGTTAAAGCACCAGTCGAGAAACCGAGAAATGATGTGTACTACCTTAAGCACAAAGCCAGCTGGGTGACCTTGGGTCAATTGCTCTCTCTCAGCCCTAGAAAGGAAGCAATGGCAAACCACTTCTGAAATCTTGCAAAGAAAACTCATGGACTTATTCAGGCAGTCCCTAGGAGTTAACAATCACAGGTCCCTAGGAGTTAACAATCACAAACCTCCTACAAACCAAACAGAACCTGTAATGAAAAAACTATTGCTATAGTAAACAGAAACTTTTTGAGATATTTTTCATATGTTTGTTAAATAGTTTTAGAAAATGATGTCTCTTAAAATTATGAGGAAGAATGCTTTATAAACTGCCAGACATGCAGAAATACGAATAAATATTTTACTGCGCAGTACATTTGATTCTCTTGTCAGAAAAGGATATTTGTTAATTTATAGAACACTGAAAAGTCTGGACATAAAATACCCAATTATTGGCTGTTTGAAACAGAAAAAGTGAGATCATCAGTCCAGATATGCAAATATAAAAGAGAGTTTGCAGAAAACAGTTGAAATCTAAAGACAGAAAAAGTTGGATTGAAAAACATCATGGCTTAGTTTCATATATGTTGCAAATGTTGTTGCTGAGTTTCTTCCACCAGCAAAAGAAAATTGCATAATTCCTGCTCCGTATGAATGATGTTTGGTGCCAGTCATGGGAATTTATTGTGATATAATATCATATGATGTAGTATTTCTTTGTAAAGATTACATCAGAAAGATGGAAATTCAAACCAGTACTTTCAGCAAGAAAAGGGTAATTTAACAGTTAGATGAAAAGCTGATACAAAAGTGTACTGTCTGATTGTGAAAAGTTATCTGTTGCAATCATAGAGAACAAAAGGAATATAGGATAAATGTCACTGCTTTTCAATTCAAGGCAAAAATGGACACTAGTTCAACAAAGTTTGCTCAAGCAAAAAATATCAGAGCAATGAAAAAGAACTTTGCAAAGATAGGCATTAAATAAAACTCCATTTCCTATAATTAAGAGATAACTGCATTGGAATATTTGAGTTTGAAGACTCAAGATGATTAAGAGATACATAATATTTTTGTTATGATTAAATATGAAATTAATTCATCAGAAAATATTTTGTTTCTATTGTTCTCTCAATGGATGTTGAAAAAGATTTTTTAAATTTTAAATTGTTTTATGTTGGCATTGTAATAAATTTGAAGATTTTTAAAAATCTATCGGCTCATTTTGGTTTTAAATCATTACCTATGTCAACACAATTTTGTGAAGAAATATTATAGTTAAGGAGCTTAATCTGATATAGAGCTAAATTCATAAAACACGGAATTTGTTATTTCATGCAAGTTTTGCCTCCATTGAACCCGGAGTGGAGCAGAGAGAGTATTTTAAAAGTATTTTTACTTGATTTTGAGGCAAGTAGAGAAGACTATTATCTACTTTGAAAAGTCTCTGTATTTTAAACTACCAAGATGAAGCTATGTTTTTTTATGTGGTCAAGGCTTAATAAACTCACATTTAGTATATATCACCATAATATAGCTAGTTTTTTTTTAACTGCATGTCTTTTTTTCTGTTAATATTGTAGTTTTTTTGCAGTTCAGTCTTTTGTTTTTTTAAAAAGGAGATCTATTTAGACCATAAACAAACACATGTGAAATTGCATTTAACAATTCTTGAGGTAGCTTATAGTAATTAAAATACTAATAATGAAACATGAAAGTATAGGTAATGTATTTAAAATCAAAGCAAACTAATCACAATCATTAAATTTAATCAGCCCTTAACAGCTTGGACTTTTTTCACAATTTTCCTAAGCCTTTGGGAAATGGGGTCCAAATACTCTCTACGACACATGATATATAGGAGGTGCATTGCATACAAGAGAAGCCATTTTCTATGTATTAGATAGCAGAGATTATGGCAGGCAACAGGATAACTTCAACAGAGTCTCCCTTGCCGATCTAAATGACAGGGCTGGTAGCAAAATAGTTGGTTTCTCAGAAAATAAGTCCTGAAGAGAAGAGTCTCATTTACTGGATGGCTGGAGGAATCCACAGTAGAATCTGTGCCATATCCAAACTCCTGTTAGTTTCTTAGAGCTACAGTGTCAAGTGGGGATAAAAACATTTTTAGAGGACGAAATATTACTGTATACATGGATGTGCCTTTTTCATGCTCTGCCTGAATATTTGAAATGATCAGATGGACTGAAATGCAAATTTCACATATAATCCCAGTCAATAATACTGTCTTTAGGAGGGAGTGAATTTGGTACAGTAGTTAAGTATTAGAGTTTGAGTTTTGTCTTAGGGACAAAGCCAGCTGGGTAACTTTGGGCAAGTCATTAGCAGAAGAAGGCAATGGCAAATCATTTCTGAAAAGAAAAAGAAAAGATTTGCCAAGAAAACCTCAGAGACTAGTCCAGGAAGTTGGTAGGAATCAACACGGACTTGAAGTTGCAAAAACAAAACAAAACAAGCAAAAAAAGCAAAGTGAGAAGAAAGCTTATGTGAGGAAAAAAGCATATGTATACAGCAGAAGTTCACATGAACCTCTTATCTCCAGAATTAAAGAATCTTAAAAAAACTCTGGCTGCAAGGTACTCTTAGAGCAGTGGTTCTCAACCTGTGGGTCGGGATCCCATTTGGGGTCGAATGACCATTTCACGGGGGTAGCCAAACAATGCAGTCCGCCATTTTTCCCCTTTTCCTTAGCTGTGCTACTCCCTTTTATTCTATTGGCTTTTGAAAGCCAATAGAATAGACTCTCTTGGATAGAGTCTAATTCTATTGGCTCTCAAAAGCCAATAGGAATTGTCCAGGCTGTCTCTGCCCTGCTGAGCCCGCCAAAACTCCCATTCTGCAAACGGTGCTGCATCAGTTGAGTAGTCCTCAACTTACGACCGGTTGAGTAGTCCTCAACTTACGACCGGTTGGGGAGTCGCGGCATTAAAATGTTGAGAACCACTGTCTTAGAGGTTGAGCTTTTTTTTTTTTTTTTAAATAAAGTCTTTCTTCTTTGAAATCTATCAAAAAACATTTGGGGTCAGGTTAAAGAAATGAGAAAATGATGATGAGAAAATCTAAGATTCTATATGTTCCTAAGATAACTTCAGTTTCTCTTCACTTGTGGAGTATGAAGCATGGTTCAGACCTGATGGCAGAACTTTCCACAGCTCCACTGAGGATGCCTGTTATAGTTCTCCTCCTCTGCCCAACATGAATGAAGTTTGTACCTTCCTATAAAGCCTTATAGCAGTGGTGGCGAACCTCTGGCATGGGTGCCAGAAGTGGCACTCAGAGCCCTCTCTGTTGGCAGCCGTACCATTGCCCCAGCCTTCCTCCCCCTGTGACCCCCTCCTCTCCAGCAGCCCCCCTGAAGGAGAGTCGCCCTTGAGCATGGCCCACATGGAGCAGCACAGCCAAGGACATGGCAGCCAGGCAACATAGACAAGACTCTGCCCTCACACCCCATCATGCAGTTGATGCTGCAGGACGCAGGCAGAGGGGTTTGGCTGTCATAGCGCTGCTGGGTTGCCTGGGCGGTCTGCAGCGGGCCCTGAAGGCGGTGAGTGGTCCTGTGGGCAGGTGGGGCAGGGAATGGGGGGGCAGAGTGAGGGCGGAGCTGGGAGCTGGAGTGGGGGTGGGGCCAGTTTTTGGGCATTCAGTCTCTAAAAGGTTCGTCATCACTGTCTTATAGCATTCTCTCTTAAGTATTTATAAGTTACAGAATAAAATATCCCAACATGTCAAAGCAAATATGTAAACTTTTCAGTGTAAAAAGCATAAAAAAGCAGAGTTTTGCAAATACAAATACTTACAAATTGTGGTTGCAATTGCTCCATATATATACTCTGTTTGATAGAGACTGTATAAAGCATCTACAGCTTCCTTAGCCAATTTATTCTGTATTTGAAAAGAAGAAATATTAGATCAATAATCCTTTATTTCTTGGCAAATTCAACTATATACAAATTCAATGATATCCCAATCACTTTCAGATAATTTATATGAACATAGGAACTTGCCTTCAGCCAGGAATGGTTATTTGTTCCTCTAGCCCAGTATGACAAGCATCTGAGGTCCTATTTAACACCTGCTAACTGAGCCCTATGTAGTGTCACAAGTGAATTAAATTTTGGTTGATTTTAAAGCTCTTGGACAATCCTAGATTTGGGCCCCAGTCCATAAGTAATTACCCATAATAGAGCATTGATGTGACTAGAGGCCACAGGCAATGAATTTGGATTCCCACTTCTGTTGAAAGACAGTTGGGAATTTTATCCCTATTCAAGCTGTATAATTTGGACAGAAAGTCTGCTGAATGATTTGTACTGCATCTAGAGATGTGTTGTCATACAGATGTATACCTAATACGCTCCATGTCTCCTGCTGAGTCGGCAACAATAGTCTGCAAGCAAGCCAGGATCCGAATATGCCTCTCCATTTGTGTATTGGAATATGCATGCAAATGCCTTTTAATCCTTAATAATAGAAGGCCTAGGACCTTTCATTTGAAGGAGTGCCAACTTCTATATTTCTTTAGATGAAAGGTATATAATACACTTTTCTTTGTCACCTCGGTCCAAGGCAGTTCTTTAAGATAATCTGCTGAGGTTTTTTTCTGCATGTTTTGTTCTTCAGAAGTACAAAGATAACCTATAAGATGTGGCTTTCTGGGTGGTTACATTCCTATTACACAAGAACTTAGCCTGGTGCCAACTTTTTGATGCCAAGAGAGAACATTTTTATATACTGACACATTTTAACATATTTTACTGAATTAATTAAGTTTTCCCCCTGTTTTGAAGACACCTCTGTCATTTTGTAAGACTGATGGGATGAAAAGCTGTATAAAACGTAGCTACATTGTTTATGAGAACATTAATATTATAAATACGTTGGCAGGTGACATAGCATCTTCTTTAGTTTGGAGAAAAATGAATTTCAGAGATGAGAAACTAATTCCTAATTTTAGATGATTAGCATTTATAGCATTCTGCAGTCTTAGCAGTCTTCTCTAACTTGCTACCCTCCAGATATGTTGGGGTGGCAAATTCCAGAAATCAATGTCATTGGAGGGCAATCTGTAAAAGAAAGCTTTGCCTAGAATCAAGAGAAAAGAATATATGCTCAGGGTTGAACTGTGGAGTCCTTGGTACTTTTTAAATTGTTTGCTTGTAACTAAACAACCAAGCTCAGAGAGAACCAAGGACACCACAGATCTTTAAATTGTCTCATTGAACAGATCAGCTATACATTTTGCAGTCCATTAATCTGTGAAACTTTAAACCAATATAAGCTATTTCTGTGATATGAATACCAATAAATTATTTGTAACTCAGGATTGAAATGAGAGGGTCCTTGGTGCTCTCTGAACTTGGTTGTCTTCTTGCCAATGTTTCATTACCCAAACTAGGTAACTCACCAGTGCTAGTAAGGTGTTCACTAGCATTGATTATGTTACTAGCACCTTACTAGCATTGATGATGTTACCTAGTTTAGTAATGAAACATCTGCAAGAAAACAACCAAGCTCAGAGACCACCAAGGACCCTGTTGTGATATGAGTCTGGGTTAATTATTATGCATTGTATTGTATTGTGTTTTGTTGTGTTGTGGTCTGTTTTGTTCTATTCATCATTGATTATGGTAAATGGTCAGAGACCCCTTTGATTGGTGCTTGTTGTTTTCAGGAGGTGGCTATGCTCCGCTCCAGTGAGAACAATTTTGTTACAAGTTCTTATTGATTTATGTGCATCCTATTGCTTTTCTTCTTATGAGCCATGGCCAAGATGGCATTTTTATTTATAGGTAAATAATTACCTTTACCCCACCCCAGATCATCTCCCAAATGCACTTCTGTTATTTGTTACATGTGAATTCAGGGAGGCAATTTAAATGTGGTAGATAAGCAATAATTGTCTGGTTATTCCTTTCATTTTGGTCTATTAATTTAGAATGTGGATTTTTTATAATAAATGAACAACTCAGTGCTTCAGGCTATAAAAGGAAATAGTTTCTTAATCTGAACTTTCTATACTTTAATATTCTCTCACCAGACACCACTAATGGAAAATGATCCTTGTTGGCATCTGCTTGCATTGGATAGGAGAACCTTTCAAAATTATTTTGCAAAGAAAAACATCTCATTTTGAATGTGAGAAGTGAGGTGATTGCCAAAGTGCAGATTATTTTAAAAACTAGCATGTACTTTGTGATAGTACGTACTGGTTGGGAAGCTGGAGAGTAGCTTTTACAAGACTTTTTTTCTGGGGCTGGATGGTGTCAAGACCAGCACTGTTGGGCACCTGCCAAAGCCCATGCTTCAGAACTGGGCCGCTGCCAATCTCAGGGCTTTTTGGCCTGCTATAACAGCTGCTGCTGCTTCCTCTCCTTCTTGAGTTTTCTATCCATGTGCTATCTCTCACCAAGCAAACAAGCAGGCAGAGAAGATGGATGAGGAACTATAAAAGGGTATGATCTGCCAAGATGGATTCTTTTGTGATTATTCACAAAACCCCTGATCTCTGTCTTGAAATAGCCCTCAGGTCAAAAATTGCATTAAAATGTGTAATTTAGGAAAATTGTGTAAGAAAAAAAAAAGGTCTCTTGGGGAAAAGTCTGTTTCACTCCTAATATACCAAATTAAAAAAAAGTCTAGATGACTTAGTACATGAAAACAATAAAAGAATTGTTGTGCATATACAGTATTTGGTGATCAAAGAAGGGTGCATATATAACAGCCTGGTTCTGCAAACTGCACTGGATACCAGTTTGCTTCCAGGTCAAATTCAAGGTGTTAGTTATCACTCATAAAGCCCTACATGGCAGGGGGCAAGGCAACCTATGAAACTGGCTTCATCCCATCCCATCAGCCTGTCTCACTTTTTCAGATAGGGAAGTATGCTGCAGACAGCCTTGGTCTTGGAAGACACCCTTCTCTGTCACTGCCCCTGCATTATGGAATATCTTTCCTTCAAATATGAGGTGGGCCCCCACTATCCTGGCCGTCTGAAAAGGGGTCAAAACCTGGCTCTGCTACCTTGCATGGGGGGCACAAAGGACCATGCAATAGTGAAGTTGGCTGGTGTCATAAGAGCCCTCCTCTGCCTTTATTAACCAATGTTAAATGGGCATCTTGGATTTTTTTATTTCTTTGAAATTTTAAGTTACAATCTTATAATTTTAAAATGTTTAATTCAAATTAATTTTAATATTCTAATGTTAACTTTATATGCTGTTTTATATATTATGTGTACACTTCTCAGAGCCCTTCCTTGAGAAAGATGGGTGGTCTAGAACAGGGGTTTTCAACCAGTGGTACGGGTACCACCTGTGGTACATTGACAACTGGCAGGTGGTATGTGACAATCCTAGAAAAGTGGTAGCGGGGGAGGGGAATGAGCTGAACCGGTGGCAGCACTGCACAAGCCTGAGCGAGAGATGGCTGGAGCTGCAGGGCTGTCCGGGCTGAGCGGAAGTCTAGGATCAGTGCCGCTTTCCAGCTGATCAGCGCTTCTTCGGGACAGTCAGGGCTCAATGGAAGCACCAGGATCAGCGTCAGGCTCCAGCTGGAGCTCAGCGCTGATCCTGGTGCTTCTGTTGAGCCCAGAAGAAGCGCTGATCAGCTGGAATGTTGCAGCATCTGCAGGGTCTTGTAATTTACATTCAGATGCTTGGCAACTGATTCATATTTATGATGGTCACAGTGTCCCAGGGTCATGTGAAGTGACCAAAACCTAGCAGATGGGGGGAATTGGCAGCAGACGCTGCCAATCCTCAACAGAAATGCTCACAACAATGAAAACCTAGGACAGGAGGAAGAGCGCTGCTGGGCGGGCAGGCAGGTGTCTTGCTCAGCTGTGGCTTGGGGGGCACTTTTTTCAGTGCCATTGTAACTTTGAACAGTCACTAAGCAAACTGTTGTAAGTCAAGGACTACCTGTACTTTATCACTTTTTTCCTTTTTTTGGGGGGGGGTCATCAGGTTTTGGACACCTTGCTAGGTGACTGGTGTTACTCAGATATTGCCATATCCTAAAAGTGGTACAATGGGTGAAAAGGTTGAAAAGCCCTGGTCTAGAAATACGAAATATAAATAAAATAAATAAAAACAAATGGGAAAACATAGTCAAACCTTTAAACATAAATAAACAAATAAAAAGGGCAAGCAGAAACTTTTGGGATGGCCAGGAGTCATTTCAAAGTTTGAGAGGAGGCAAGAACAGTGGGAGAGGTGAGAATTTTATTTTTTCCTTAATTTTTAAACATGTCCTTGAGCCTGTTTCAGGGCTTTCACTACAGTTTTACTTTATTTGTAATATTGAAATAGCAAGAAAATGTGCTACTGATATTCACAATAGCTAGCTTATCTAGTTGTTGGTGTGGTTTTTGTTCCCAGAAGAGTTCTGGAGACCGCTTATGGTCCTAAGGCCATGCATTTTTGTTGTAGATCAGGGGTAGTCAACCTTGGCTCTTTTATGACTCGTGGACTTCAACTCCCAGAATTCCTGAGCCAGCTGTGCTGGTTCGGGAATTCTGGGAGTTGAAGTCCATGAATCATAAAAGAGCCAAGGTTGACTACTCCTGTTGTAGACTGATGAAAAGCTCCCCTTTTCTACATACCAGTTTGTCATGAGTAGGTGCTTCTCCTATTGTATAGCCATAAGGAAACAACAGCATCTGAGAATAGGCGTGGATGGTTATATAACCTTTGATAGAAGCATGGTGTGCACGAATAAAGGCTGTGACTGCTTTTGTTTCTGGCTCAGATTCTGCTGACGAACCACAGTATATCTCTTCACAAGGGTCATGCAATCCACCTACTTTGTCTGCTGCAAGGAAAAATATTAAGAAGAGTTGCTTACGGTGTATATGGAAGCTATTTGTATTTCTTCCCACTACTGATTCATGGGCTAGGCATTCATAACAGGTTCTTTATGTAAAAAATTCCTAAGTCTTTTGAGTTTGTAAATAGCAAGATAATGAAAGCCTTGAAATATTGGTCACTTATGAATCTACATAGTTTGGGAACCTCAGTCTTACAGGCAGAGTTGTGATTTTTTTTGAGTTGATACAGTTTTTAGAAAAAAAAGATTGGCACATTCTGATTATTAATTACTTTAATATTTCTCATAATGTAGGGCTAACAGAACAAATTATTATTGGCATTAATTATTGTCTAACTTAGAGATTGTCCCTGATTCTGCTATGCATCCTATACATCAATATAGTCTAGAGAAAACTAATTAACTTTCATCCAGAAGTGACTCAGAATCTACCATTTTTATCCCAAAATGAATAAGGTAGCTCTATATTTTTGTGACCCAAGCTCTACTCCCTTTGTGTGTATTTGTGACATCATGAAGCACATATAAAAGTGCCAGGGCTTCTGTTGCATCAGCATGGTGCTGCTTTCATCATTTGTGTTACTTTGATCACCCTGCAGATATTGTTGCTTCTTTCAACTTGTTCTGCAGTTGATATTTACTTGTGGGATTTCTCTTTTCTTATATATCATACATTCTACTTACAGCCCCAAGAAGCTTTGAAATTCCTGTTCAGATCAGTGCCAATGCAATCACTGTTTGAATTATTGGAACGGTTTTTTCTCCACATGCGGTCCTGTAAGGCAAAAGTGATTGAAGTCCATTATTTCTTTTTATTTCTTAATTCTGAAAGTATTAACTTATTTGCAAATTATGTACAACTAAATGTAAGTGGGTAGAAGGACTGGGGTCCTATATACTGCTTCCAGTCATGTTCTCTTCTGCATTATCTGTCAGTGGTGTAACATACAAGTTACCTTTAATGTTTATCTCTGAATAAAAATAAATGTACATGATATACATTATATAAATATACATTAACTTTTGGAATTGCGTACACTTTGCATTTATTACATTTCAAATCTGAGTTGTTGTTTATCAATGGGCTGGGTAAGTATAATCCTACTGTCCTGCTGTGCTGACATCCAAGTAAGGATGACATTTGAGTAATTGAAAGATATACTCATATGAGAGAAGACTAATACTCCTATATGCTGATTATTATAAGCTGTAATTTCTTATGGATTTAGTCCTTTTTTGAATGAGGAAGGGAGCTATAATCTGTAAAAGATCAGATAAGAATATACTCATTTGCTTTAATTTGCATGTTGCATTTTTTTAAATCCTTGGAAGTAATTAACTGATATGAAGACTAATGAAGCCCTAACTTATGACTTTTTGCTGTCCTGAGTTAACAAAAGGATTACATGAGGAGGAAGCTATGCTTTTAATATTAATTATGATGGGGAAAAAAGCACCAAGAAAGGATAGATAGACATATTTATCTGTGATGATTTTCATTTTTTTTCGTGTTAGAACACAAATAACTTTTACAGATAGAGATTATATTATATAGAGAACTTTCATCCTCAGATAGAGATTATATTCTAACACACCTGTAGTAACACATCATCCTTTGAAACTTTCTATTGTCCCCGTAATTCATTTTAGCAAAAGAAACGGTGTTTTCTAGAAAGGAAAAAATATGAATAATACTTTGGTCCATGTCCAGACATAACCATCAATGTTGAACACTGGGAGAACATAGAAATTCATGTTGTCCAAGAGTTGTGTCATGTCCTTGTCTATACTGTAAGTCGTGACAGCCTGTAACAGAAAAAGACTTGCATGTTAAAAGAAAACAATTTTCAATAAATTGAGAATATTGGAAATGTTACAATAATTTTCTTTTAAAGTATATTTTCATTCTATCTTCCCTCGTCTATCTATATTAGCTTACACTAATGAAATCTATAATGTAAATAATAATTTACAATTATTTTACAGTATTTACATTATGTGTGTTTTTTCTGGCACCTATTAATGTTAAAATTAGTTCTGGGCAAATTTCTTTTCAGAGGGAAAGTAAAGACCATTCTTTCTTGAATGCTCTTTCCTGTTTCACCTTATATGGGAAACTTCCAGGAGGACTTCAGAAGATTATTTGGGGCCTGGAGAGACTGGCACGAAAAATCTAAAACAAGCCTTGAGGAATCAGATCAAGAGATTATTTAGCCCAATATTCTGTGTCAAATCTGTGGCCAGACAAATGCCTACAGAGAATCATATAAACAGGGATATGAATATAAGGGCTAAATCAGCAGATTTCTAATCGCTTGTACCTGTCAGTTCCCCTCAAACAATGTTAATTAAGCATGTTTTACTAACCTCTTTTACAAACCATTGGCAAAAGGCTGGTGAGATCCACTCTCGTGCATGAATACCACAATCCATAAATATAGCTTTCTTTTGGCCACTCTGTTTCCCAACCTGTTTCCAGGGAAAATTGAGTTTTTACAACTTTCTTATGTTTACTTTACATAATAATTGATGTTTTGGTGTTAGAATTAATTTGCATTTCCTTTAATTTGCTTCTACTTCTAGCTTTTTTTCTACTTCTAGCTTTTATTGAAATTCTCAGTTAAAATTGTTTATTTTAGGGAACCAGACATGTAAAATTCTGAGAAGGTTATGTAATAAAATACATGTACATTTTATTGCATTTTAAAACAAAAGAGAGATGAATATTTGATGGAGTGTTTTTTTTAAAAAATGTATGGAATTGAATGAATTAGAGCAGATTTAATCATACTTTCCATTGTAGATCAGTTAATCCTGATGTCAGCTAATGCAGTTCAATACAACTATCTGTTAATCTACTTTCTCATTATGCATTAGCTGTAGATATACACCTATTTATTAAATGCTTGAATTATACTGACACTTTTACCTTAAGGACATACATAGGCCGTTCCTCATACGTCTTTCCAATCTCATTCCTGGATATCAGTTTGGGATGTTTTTTGGCCATTCGTTCAGTCCATGCAACAATCTAAGTGGATCACATAATAATAGAATTAAGACAATAGAATTAAAGGGATAGAATATGCTTTGTTATTTTCAATTATCTAAGTTATTTTAAAACACTTTTTTTTCAATGCATAATACCTTTTTCCATTCATTATATCTCGTGTAGAAGTATTTCTTACGGAAAAGTTTTCCTCCATCCAATTGTTTCTCAATTTCATCTTGTAGATTGTGGAATAAAATTCTGTGATAGGAAGCATAATTAGATTAAATATGTAACATGGCTTTCCCTGAAGTCTTTTTGTTTAAGATTTCTTTGGCCCAGGTCTACCCTATAGGCTTATATTTACATTAAAAAGTATTCCTTCTTTTTCTTCTTTTCTCTTTGTTAAAACCTGTATTATAAATTGGACTGGAGCCCCCTTTGTGTTTTGCTTATATTAATCTGAATATTTATAGGAATAAAGCTAAATTTCAAAAAAGAAAACATGGCATCCACAATTAAATGATCAAAGCCCCACTCCTTTTTTTTCAAATGGATGACACTTTGATTGCACAATTTTGGTTGCCATCCTAATGTACCTGAGGACAGGATTGATCCAGTGACTGACAAGTGCTGCATTGTATCATTCCCTAAGTCAGAAGTCCCCAACCTTTTGTTGCTGCATGCCATGGCCCGGTACTGGTCTATGGACCGGGGGTTGGGAACCCCAAGCCACTGTCTTCCCTACAATGTCACACAGCCCAAAGCTCATCACTGCTTCAATGTATAAATTCTTAAAATAAATAAATGATGGATGGATCATAAAAAGTTTTGGCCCATGTGTGAATTTTGGTGAACAGGTTATTTTATATATACAAATGAAGAAAACACTGGGTTTAAAATAATATGGTAAGCCATTCTGAAATAGGTTTTTAAACTGGATAATCATATTAATAAGTGCATCAGAAGTACAACATCACGTTACTTTATGCAACCTTTAATATGTTACCTCTGCATAAGATGGAGTAAGTAAAGGCTTGGTAAAGGCAGAAATCAGTAACTGATCCTGTGATATCCAGAAAGGACACATATATACCGTAGTCACAATGACATAAATTAGCTATTTCTATTATAAATGTATTGTTTAGTTCAGCAAAATAACTGAAGAATGAATTCTTGATTAAGTATCATTTTGTTAGGTTCTGACATATGAAGCCCTTTAAAAGAACTTCGAGGCATTGTTTACCTTAAAGAATCTTTTATTCGACAAACAAAGTAACGGCACTACATAGTTGAACCCAAAAACTAAATTCTCCTCCCCTGGAAACAAAGTACAATTCCATCCTCCAATAAATAGTCATATATTACATACCCCAATTAGCTTGAAGCATGGGCTTTCTCCCCAGCCCGCAAAAACACTATCAGCTCTGGGCCCAGCTTCCTATTTTTCTGTTTTGTATTGGATTGTCCTCATTAAATAGAAATGATATTTAGATGAAATCAATGGAGGAACTCTCATCACTTTTAATGTCTCTGGATTTTAAAAATCTGTAGTTATTGCAATACTACAGCACAAGAAACAGTCAGAAAGTTGCACTGATATATTATTGAAGGAGCAGTAGCAAGAGAAAAGGGATATGGCCATTTAAAAAAGAAAGCATGTCAAACCTTTATTTTTATATGGGGAAGAGATTGCGAATCAAGTAGAAAAATCGAATGAATAGAGAAATGGAATCTTACATTGATTACCCTTTATTCAAGAACATATGAACAACGGCTGCAGGACTTGGGTTTGGTGACATGATAGCAATATTCCAGTATTTGAGGGGCTGCCATAAAGAAGAGGGGGTCAAACTATTCTCCAAAGCACAAGAAGGCAAAACAAGAAACAATGGTTGGGAACTGATCAAAGGGAGAAGCAACCTGGAATTAAGGAGAAACTTCCTAACAGTGAGGACAATTAACCAGTGGAACAGCTTGCCTTCAGAAATCGTGGGCGCTCCATCACTGGAGATTTTTAAGTAGAGACTAGACAGTCATCTGAAATAGTATAGATTCTTCTGCTTGAGCAGGGGGCTGGTCTAGAAGACCTCCAAGGTCCCTTCCAGTTCTATTCTAAGAACAAGCAGCAGTGATGTAAAAGGACTTACATCATACATAAGTATGTACATAATATTGTAGATGTAGATGTAGCATAATATACTATTTTAAAAACTGGATTAAACTAAGATCATCAATCCTTTTTACCTCATATCTCAGCCTTTCTTTTTTGTTCATAAGTTTCAAAGTTTGAGAGGAAAGTTAAGTGCAAAATGGATGCTTTAAGCTTGGAAGAGACCCAAGGCATCTGTTCTTCCCCTTAAAGTCCCTGAAATCTATTCAGAAATGGCCGTTGGCCCCATTTACTTTCCAGGTGTGGCCCTTGATATGTTGTGTACCCTCCATTAAAGAGTTGTTCTTTTAAGTTGATTTAAATTGTCTTTAATTAATTGACATATATTCACTCTTCATCTCTGTCTCCTTCCTTCTGTCTGTCTCCTAAAAAAATTGTTTAATTCTATTTGGATTTCATTTATATTTTTTAATTAAACTGTTGATTATTTATTTATAATCATTCTAATAAATGTAGCATACATTCTCATGAATCTGAATTGTGAACCACATACCTATATTGGATTTGATTTTGCTCCAGGATCTTTTGAACAAAGTTTATCTGATCTGAACTGACTCAGAAATCCATTTTTTTTTCAATAAGAACATATTGAACTGAATGAGGATGCAAAAAATCAAGCTAGGAAAAAAAATACGGCAAGTTTATTTTTAAGCATGTAAATAAAAAAGAGGAATCATGTAGAATTTTTTTTTATCTGTTAGAGAGAAATGCCTTTCTTGTACTCTTTGTTATGTGAGCCAGAATAGGATATTGTGTTAGAACAACTGACCCTATCTAGGTTAGTTGAGTTTAACTTCAGCATTAACGATACAGAATTTCATTGCTTCATTACATTTCACTATATCTAATAAAAGTCAGTCATCCTGTTTTATTTTCTTTGCAAATGAATTAATTATGCAGAGCAAAAGTAGCTGTAGTCTCATTTAATGGCTATTCGTTCAGTGACTATTCAAAGCTATGATGACTTGAATGAATAGACTGGTGCTCAGAGAAACAGTTAATATTGGAATGGAGGACTAATCGTCAGAAATAGGTAGCTTTGGGAGAAAAGAATGCCAATTGGTAATATGAAGCCATTGAATGACCAGCATGAAACTACGAAAAGGTTGTATTAAGGGATGCCTTCATGTACTGTTTTCTACTTTATAAATTTCAGCATATCTTCTAAATTAATAAAATGTCATGTAATCACCAATATTTGAATGTTTCATCTCTCACAATGTATTGTTATTAATCTTCCCATATTTGATGTAAATATTTTACAACATATTGTTGACATGCAATGTTACTTCATATCTGACAATCACATCAGCACCAAGATCAAAACAATCAAAAATGCCAAAAATTTTCATGCAATTTATGTTTTACTGCAAGACTTTACATTTTAAAAAATCATATAAATATTTGGGTAGTAGTTTAAGCTAAAATAGGTTTTTGGCATATCTGCACATACAATATGTATGTCAATGCTGCAAATACTGTATAAGCTGAACTACAGAAATGGTTTCTCTTCATTTGCAGCTTTCACTATGCACTGAAAACACATTTATTTAACTGAAGCATTTTTTTTAATTTGTAAAAACTTTGTAGAATGATGTGGAAAAAGATATGACGCATATGTTAAAAAGACTCCTCACCTGTATTGTAGATGCCAGGTCCTTCAAGACATTTAATTGATTTTCATTCTCAAGTTTCACTTGAAATACTTTGTCACTTCAATAAAAATAAAGCATAATTAAAATACATTACAATCACATTTTGTTCTATTTTCTTCTTCTCTTTATCTAATGTATGGTTATAAATCATTCCATCAGGCTTACAGTGCTATGCCAGATTGCATCTAATAGTTGCTTACATTCCTACATACAGTAGTGAAGCTAGTAAAACCAGTAACTTTGCTTTCAGGAAATAACCACAATGAGAAACATCTACCTGTCAAAGGAATGTGTGAGAACAACCCCCAGAGGTGTAAAAAGGAGCCCTAGAAATGTAAGAATGAACCTCATGATTCCACTTTGTCTGTAAAGCTAGATCCTTACTTTTTATATATGCCTTTATATGCACACATAAGCAATCAGGTGACTTCCTCTAAAGCTTTCATTGGATACTATACTATGACTTTTGAGTTTGCCAGTTAATACTTTTAGTCTTCCACTCATTATCACAAAATCTGAGAATAAAACTAACAAGAAAAACTAAAACTCAGCCAGATGAAAAATACGATTAAGTGTCATGTTGTATGGTGGGAGATAAACAGCTCTGCAGGAGACTTCAGCACATATCAGCCTAGATAGAGGTAAAATAAAGATGAACAACATTTACATACCGTTCAAAAATGACTATCAAAAAAGCTAAAAAGGAAAGAAAAAAAAGCAAAATACCTCCTCACCTGCAATCAACACTCAGATAAGCAAGGATTAACATCAGGATTAGTATTAGACCAACAATCAAGCAGTAAACAATACTCCACTCAAGGAATTACTAATTCAGACAAACAGTCAAACAGTAAACAACAGTCTAATCAAAAACTATTTACAAGAAAATAACACTCCTCCCAATACTGATAAAGAGCATCAAGGATTCCACAGATAGGTGTGGAACATTTTTTTGGTAATGTTTTTGTGTTTTTACCTTTGTAAGTTGCTTTGTAAGTCACATGCATGAAATTAACAGCTATATAAATTTGCCAAATAAATAAATTTTCAGTTTACTTTTACTCCATTTGCTGGCCATTTTATCCTAACAGTATCCTAGCAAATGCTCCCTCTGACTGAAGGTAAGCAATTCCTTGTGAGTGCGTGGAGATAATGCGAGTTAATCCGAGGCATTGAACCAGAAATGTCCTCTCCAGATTACTGTGGATGTAATTTGGTCCAATTTGAGGGCAGAGTCTGGAGTGAGATTTGAAGAAACAGAGCATATATATGGCAGTTTTGTTGTTTATGGGAGAAATAGGAGGATAAAAGCATGTTAGGTATGTCTTGAGTTATTTATACAAATAATAAAAATGGAGATAACTAATGAATAAAATGGCTTCATAACATCAGCAGCTTTTGAACTAAAGCATAAACCTACATTAAACAGGTGTTGAATCATGTCAACCATATATACTGGTATGTCGATCCATATTGGACAGTTTTGGAGAAATTCTATTGTCCATGTGCTTCACATGACTTGCTTTAAATCTTTTTCATATATAAAGAAATACGTGGGAGAGACCAGTCTCCTACTGTCCTTTTAAAAGGGCTGTTGACCCTTGTGTGATACGTCAAACAAATCTGCTCTATTTATCAGAACAGGGAGATTCAAAGAATTTCAGCAGTTATGGTTTATATTCCTTCTTGACTGTTTATCTATTTCTTTCTTTCTATCTGCCTGCTGCATCCTTAATGTCTTCATTCATTCTCTGCTTCTTCCCTCATAAGTTTGGTTTAACCAGTTGAATAACTGAGAAACACCAAACTTTGCACCATAAATTTTAGCATATGCACAATTATTTGGAAAATCACCTTTGCTGACTGCTTAATGTTTTGATTCAAAGCTCCCATATACAGTATCTTATCTTTTTAATTTTATTTTATTATACTGTCTTTTGATTGAATTTCATATCTCAAGAACATCTGAAATAGATAAACCCAGAAAGAGGAAGAAATGACCAGCCGTTATTTCTGCCTACTTCTAGATAGAACTGTGTCAGTTGCATAAGAATCTGATTAGGATCAACACAGAAGTCTGTTGTAATCGAGACAAGCTCTTGTACAAATTTCCAAAGTCTGTTTTTCCTCCTCCTGCAACAACCCTTTTTATTAGCCTTTCTGAGCTAGAGGGTTTGGAGAATTGAACTCTATCATATGATGGATGTGCTGGCTGAGAAAGACTCCTTTGTGCCATGCCATGCTATTCTTGAGTGTGTTCCTCTCTGAAGGTTTAGGGAATTATGCCAAAAGGAAGGTGTAAGAAGGCCATTCCAGGACACAATGCCATTTACTATACGTGAGTAGAAGTAGTGTATACCTTTTTTTAATGAAAATTATCAGCACTTTTGATCAGTGACGTCATCAAAGTAAACAAACCCACGTGCTGATTACGTCAACAGGGCACAGCCCTAAAAGGAAGTGACGTGCTCAGCCCCCACCCTCCGGATGTGACGTTTTGGCCTAATCCCATCAAGATTGGCAGTCAATCCTCTGGGTACATGATTAGGTTAACCCTAGACTAATTCTATGGACATTCAAAACCAAAAAGAGCTAAGTAAAGTGAATAATTAGCAGAGGCCTGTGTTTTTGGGGAACAAGCCCTACTTTGGGGAGCTGTTAACCCTAGACTATTTCTATGGACATTCAAAACCCAAAAGAGCTAAGTGAATAATTAGCAGAGGCCTGTGTTTTTGGGAAACAAGCCCTACTTTGGGGAGCTGTGAAATAAAAAATAAAAAAGGCTTTTTATTTCTAATCATTCTAGCCTAACGATGCTTTTAATTTTTGTGGAGTTTTAAAAATCAGTGCCTCAAAAGCTGGGGAAAAAGAAGCCCCTGAAAGGCAGCCAGAGCCTGCATTTAACCCCTTTTTTCTAAAAGATATTTTTTTCTAAAAGGTATTTATGTCTAGGTGGTTTTAAAAGCATTTCCTCGAATGCAGGGGGAAAAACAAACACAGCCCCTTTTAAAACCCACAGCTGGTTTTTACCTTTGTAAAAAATCTAAACACACATATTTTGCCATTTGTACCCCGAATAAAATTTATTCTGCCCGCCTTCCCACTATAGCAAAAGACAAGGAATATTAACAGGAATTAAAATGCTCACAAGAGGCAAGCAGCCAACCAGGCTCACAAGAGGCAAGCAGCAAGCAGCCATGCCTGTCTGTCTGCTAGTAAAAAAAAAGAAGGGGTAGGCCTTGTTTGGGATGTGCCCGGGCATGTCATGCTCCCCGTGATCTGGGCATGCGCAATGCTCAAGGGCGTGTCATTGCAAGGGGCAGGGGAGTTTGCTCCCCGTGATCTGGGCATGCGCAATGCTCAAGGGCGTGTCATTGCAAGGGGCAGGGGGGAGTTTGCACGGGCAGGGACATGCCCGGGCATGTCATGCTCCCCGTGATCTGGGCATGCGCAATGCTCAAGGGCGTGTCATTGCAAGGGGCAGGGGAGTTTGCTCCCCGTGATCTGGGCATGCGCAATGCTCAAGGGCGTGTCATTGCAAGGGGCAGGGGAGTTTGCGCGGGCAGGGACATGCCCGGGCATGTCATGCTCCCCGTGATCTGGGCATGCGCAATGCTCAAGGGCATGTCATTGCAAGGGGCAGGGGAGTTTGTGTGGGCAGGCCTGAACAGCTAGCGATTTAACCCCAGCAGTCTTTTGAAGATGGCAGCCTCTGATGGAGATTTGTTTGATGTAAATTTGACCCCCAAACCACCCAAGCGTGGGCGCAGAATAAGAAAAGGACCTGAGTTATACAGTTTCATTGAAGAGAACAAACTTATAAAACCTTGTTATTGCAGATTCTGCAAAACATCAAATGGTAAGTAAATATATATATATAAAAATTAAGAAAACAGTATTTTGATTGGTTGAAACAGCAAGCCTAAATCTAACTTATTTCCTGCTTTAGAAACGGCGGAGTCTCAAAATGCCAGCATGCCTCAGATTCTGAAAGCGTGTATTATTAAAATATTACACCACTGCTTAATGGGGTGTCTACAATCAGATGAAGACCACGTGGATGGTACCAGTGAAACAGAACATATTAAAAGCTTATGCTTTAGACTTTCTATGCCTCATGTTCTCTGGATCATCATCAGTATTTCTGACAAAATGAATAACTTATATTTCACCCAGGGTTCCCTTGATGAGGTCAAGACATTCATACAGCGTATCGAAAAGAGCCGTAAACCACTGTCATTAATGTCAAAGATTGAATCTGAATTGCCATTGTCTCTGAAGAGGCTCATATGCCAAAATGTAACAGAAATTAATTACAAGAATCTCTTAATGCTATGAAATTTATAATAAAATGGGCTTTACAAATCACATGAAATATGTATTATGTTTTTCTTTTGCTGACCCCTGTTTAACTTTGGCAGATGTTAAACACAATTTAATCAAAACTCAAGGGGTATTATTCAATTCGGTTTCCCTGATGAGGCGGGGCTGGTCAGATTTGCAAAAGTTGTGAAAAACACACCTCCTCTGATGTGATTAAGTTGTGACATCACCAGCGTATACAAAAGCAGGGTCCATACTGGTCTAGTCACATTTGCTGGTTTCTGGCATATCTGTACCTCTGGAGCCATTTGATCTGCTAAGAAGACCCTTTTCAGAATGGAAGCCACTATTGTAAGTAGTTTTATGGCTAATTTTTGAAACACTTAGATGCAAAATGGAGTTTTAGAATATTCTTGTCTGCTTGCTTGTTTGACTGATTGATTGTTTTATTTCACTAGAATGAATTGACAGACTCAGAATGCTTGAGGGCTTATGAAGGTATTTGTCTTTCATACTTTCACACATTTAGATTCTGGTAAACATTTCTGCAACAAATCTGACCATAGGATTTCTCTTTTCCTTCAGAATGGGAGGATGACCAGTTATTCACTGATGTTGCTATTACTGTAGAGAACCAATTGACAGACTCAGAATGTTTGAGGGCGTATGAAGGTATTTGTCTTTCATATTTTCATAACATTTTAGATTCTGGTAAACATTTCTGCAACAATTCTGAACATTGGGGGCTTTTTTTCCTTCAGAATGGGTGGATGACCAGCCCTATGTAGACCTTACATTACCCCAGGAGCCCCAAGAGGCCCAGCCATGCACAAGCTACACAACACGAATGCTGTTAGGAGGTATAATATCTAGCATTTTATCCAACTACAAAATCATTAGTATTATTTTTTTAGAAACTAAAGGGAGGGGAGCGTTATTACATTATTAGGAATGTTGGTGATAGCCTTTTGTTTGTTTGTTTAACCAGAGCCGGCCTGCAAAAAAGCAAAAATGCATGGAGGTGGACTTCCCGCATCCCCAGCAGACAGTCATAAATGTGATTCCATGCCAGCATCTCAACCAGAAGGGGAGATATGTCATTCTACACCACAGCTACAAGCCCCTAACTCTGCAAACTCTCAGAATATGAACAATGTTTATTTGGATATGGTACAGGAATGGGAGAAGCCTATCAGGAATTTCAGGGCTGTGGAATATTATCAACGCTATAGATTTATTAATCTTGACCAAATCCGGTCTTTTGTAGATGCTATAGAGGCTGTTCATAATGTGATACAGCCTCTTTTGAATAATGTTGCTAGGGACATAGGTCCAAATGATTTTGTTCAACTCCGGCTGGATGCAGAGGGGTTAAATCATCCTCTCTTTTCTCTCAGGAGGAATATCAATGATTTAAATGCTGAGGATTTTCTGACCGGTATTGAAAATCTGCTGCAAAGTAAGGCCGAGATACTGTGGGGGGGGGGGTAATTTGCAATTAGTGGTTACTGTTGTGAAGAACAAGGAGGGGGGAGGTCTTAGGAAGTTAAGCACTGTGCTGCTCACCAGAGTGCTGGAGAAAAAAAGACAGCACCTAGTAGATTTCAATGTGGGAGGTGAATTTCTATGTTTTGCTAGCTGTTTGCTCTGGCTGATTGGCGGGGATGTTAGAAATCAAGAAATTATTACCAGGGCCAGGGAACTTCACAATAGACTGGGTGTTTCCACAGAAAACAGAATTGACTTTTCTCAGATACACCTCTTTGAAGAAGCTTTAAGGGTCACTATAAAGATCTTGTTTTATATGCAGGACGGTTGGCGGTTTTTTGTCACAGGTAGCCCCCAGCAAGAAAAAATAGTGTTTATATTGTTACACGACAAGCATTATTATGGCATCAAAAATATCAAGGGCTTCCTGGGTGAACGCTATTTCTGTAAATTCTGCCACACAGCCTACCACCACAAATTTAGTCATGGCTGTCAATATATCTGCAGAGCCTGCCTCACCCAAGAATGCCAGCAGGTGGTGGGGGAGAAGGCGCGCTGCTGTAGGTGCAAAGAGTTTTGCCGGTCTAAGGTGTGTCTTGAAAGACACACACAGCTTGCTATGGAGGGAAAAGTAGACTGTAAGAATAAAGAATATTGTGAAACGTGTGGGGCTTACGTCTTTAGCCCCCACAAAAAGTGCAAGGAAACCAAGTGTGGACAGTGCTCTGAGAAGGTTGAAAGTTTGGAAGGGCATTTATGCTTTCTAAATTCGTTGGACCGGCCGCAAATTGGCAAAAGATATATTATTTATGATTTTGAATGCTGTCAAGAGACAGGCATCCATATACCTAATTATGCCTGCGCCAGGGATATGTTGAAGGATGAGGATGATAAAGATGTTGTGAGGTGGGATTGTTATGGTGTTAGATGCCTGGAGCAGTTTGTAAAGAATTTTATAAATCATAAGTTTAAAGGATGTACTTTTATCGCTCACAACTCCAAAGGTTATGACGGGTACCTAGTACTGAAGCAATTGATCCGTGAAAAGGTTAGGGTTCAGCTTATAAATCAAGGGGGGAAACTTTTGTGTATCACCCTGCCAGATTATAAGATCCGGTTTATTGATAGCCTCTCATTTTTGCCCCTTAAATTAAGCAAATTACCCAAAGCTATGGGGTTTCAAGGCAGCAAAGGATATTTCCCCCACTTGTTCAATACAATGGCCAATCAAGACTATGTGGGGCCACTCCCTGAAATCAAGTATTACAGCCCTGAAACCATGATGCCCGGGGAGAGAGAAGAATTCATGAAATGGCACTCTGCTAATACAGGTACTGTGTTTAAACTAAAGAAGGCTCTGGCTTACTATTGCAGACAAGATGTAGATATATTAAGAGAGGCCTGTATTCGATTTAGGGAACAGGTGATGGAAATGACTGAGCGAGAGTGTTTCAGAGGGGTCGGGGGGGATATTGTTGAGGAGATAGCGATTCGAGGCATTGACCCCTTCCAACATATCACACT